TATTCTCATGTTTTGCTTAACTATTGTATGATCAATAAAAGTTTTTTTTTTTTTAATATGCATCAAGCTCTTTATCATTACGAGAATATCACTTGCAAAATTTATAAAAAAAATTTACCTTTTGGTTATTCATACTACTGCTTACTACATTCGGTATGAGAGGAATTACAAGATTTTTAAAATTTCAATCATATTGAAGTTTGGTGGATGAATGGAAAGCAATTATAAACTAGGTCAAGATGGATTAAACCGGATTAATTTAGAAGATCGGATTTGCATCTAAAATTATTCAAAGAAGAAGGTTATGTAATATTTGAATAGTTTAATGACTTCCTAAAGATGATACCTGGAAATTTTAGTAATTTTTTAAAAAGTTTATAATGATCAATAGAGGGTAGAAATCCATTAGGTAGGGTGGATAATGATGAATAGAGAGTAGAAAATCAATTAGGTAGGGTAGGTTGGAAACCCTAGCATGGTTGAAACCTATTAGTAATGTTTAGAGTTTTAATTAATAGATGAAATGATGGAATCAATGTCAAAGATTCTAAGACTTGAAGGAGGAGAGTGTTTAGAGTAGTTCTGAATTTTATGAGAATTATTCAAAGGACTTAAATGTTTGAAAAGTCTAAGATACACTTGTCATCTAACCCTAGAGGCTGAGATTTATATAAAAAGGGATCTAGGTTTTAAGTGTCTATAAGTGAAGAAATTATTATAGAATAACTATGGGATTGTAATAAGAGGATTCTTCAATAATAAAACGAAATAAAATTGAACATGTGGAATGCATCTACTCACCAAAGTGGCATATGGTAAAGACTAGCCACCAAGTAAATTTTCTTGATAAAGTTGACCACTAAATTTTCTCTTCTCAGTTTCATAATTAAAATTTCACGGAGAAACTTCATTATCATAGCAATAACCCTTTCATTCCATATTACATAAATAGGTCTCTCACACTTTAAATTCAAACTAAGGAACAAAAGGGAAACATAAAGAGTGGCAGTGGCCCATGGTGATAACTATCCTAACAATTTCTACACTTGGTTTGGATGTCCCTCATTTAGCTCGGCTGGCCATACACATGTACTAGATCACTCCAAACATAAAAAGTAATATAAAATGGCTTCTAAGACATACAACCACCTACATAATACATAAAATAAAATAGCTATAATCAACACAAAGTACATTTATGAAATTAGAGCCCTTAACATCATCTTGCTTATAGTCATTGAACTTTAATCAATCCCCATTTTACTGACTTGGTGATATAATGGTTGGCCCATTCTTGTTGTATTGGCACCTCATGCCACATCAAAATTGCTCCTTCAGATGTGACTATAGAAAAAGGAAAGGCTAAAGCATTTCAAGCTCTTGCTCTTCCTGAAGTCTAGTCTGCACCTACAACAAAGAAGCCATAGAAAAACAGCTCCAACACTTGTCGAATTGATTGAAGTAGACTCGATGTAGCCTGACAAAAGAAGGCCACTCACCTAGGTTATGGCAAAGACTCTGTCGAGAATCCCATGAACTAATACTAGGAAGGCCCTAACTTCCGCCCAGAAGGCTCCTTCCTCAAGAGGCATGCTTGGCAACTTTGATTTCCATAAAGGCAATAAATAGAACGTTGTGCAAGAAATTGAAGAATTATCTTCTAAAGTTGGACTGTTAATTTAACCATTGAAGTTGATAAGTGTGAGATTCTCAAATAGTTAACCAAATTAAAGAGTTCTTCGATTGAGATGATGACAACCATTCAGCATGAAGTCATACTGCTTACAACTCAAGTAGTGGCTAGTCAAAAATATATGAAGTCAACTCGGTCATATCAATTTCTCTCAAGAGGAAAGTTCATTTTGAAGTATAATAGACAGCAGAAAGCCTCCCAGTGGAGAAAATTTTCCATACGGAGTGCAGACGTAGCACTGTGTGCGAACTCCAGTAATATGTCGCCACGTGTGCTACACCGGGCCCACCTCATAAACTATTAGAAGCATGAATTTTTTTACGAGGGTTGTTGAAGTGGAACTGCGAAGGTTATTGAAGCGATTCACTGCGCGGTATTATTGGAATTATTGGAGGTTTATTGCGGCATTATTGGAGTCAATACCCCAATAACCCCGAAATAACACCGAATTTGATAGATTTGAACTGAATTCAGTGTTATTTTTGGGTTATTGGGGTATTATTTCATTGTTATTAGGGTATTAACTCCAATAACCCCCCAATAATCTCTGCGGTTCTACTTCAATTAATTCATTTTGCGGTTCCACTTCAATAACCCCTACAATAACCCCCGCAATAACCCGTCAAAAATTTTCGCGGTTCCACTTCAATAACCCCCCTGCAATAACCTCCGCAATAACCTCCTAATAACTTCTATGGTTCCACTTCAATAACCCCCGTAAAAAATTCATTTTTTTAATATTTTATGAGGTGGACCCGGTGTAGCATACGTGGCGGCATATTACTGGAGTAAGCACACAGAGTTACGTCTGCACTCCATATGGAAAACTTTTCCCTCCCAGTGAGGCTTGTTTAAAAATTTTGTTTCTTCAAAATGGTCAATTTCAAGTAGCCCCATGTAATGTGTACAAACTAACTGTTGTAAAACATTTATAAGAATTTGACCATTACAATTTAATGAGCATGGTGCTTCAATTTTCGTAGAGATGTGAAACTTACACTCTGAAATGATTGAAGTGAATTTTTTTAAATGGACATAATGAAAGAAAATCTCACAAGATATAACTTTCAAATTTTGAATTTTAAAATGACATGGCATAATGATAATGCTACTCACGTCGACCCCTTCACCTTTCTACAAGCAGGTTAGTGAAGATGCTTTTCAAATTATCTACACAACCCTTCAAGTTTTTACGCCTTCTTATACTTGTCTATTTTAAGTGAGCTCATCCTCTTTCTTTGTCATGGGGTTTTTTTTTTTACTTGTCATCTAGTCTAGTGAAGTTTTGATGAATAGTGCAATGGAAAATCCATCTAAAATGTCAATAACGAACTTGAACTTCCTCCAAATAAAGTGTCTTCAATGAAAATCATCAATTGAGGCCTACTAAAAAAAGCAAACACCAAAACTATCTTTAGGAACAAATTATGCTACTACTAAGCCCTATTTCACCTGGGGCTTCAATTCCTTTTTTGTCAAGGGTTCATGGACATCTTCAACTCCTATGGGTTGATTAATGCACAAGTGATAATTAACTTGTTAGTAAATATTATGTGATAGTCGAGGAAGAATAAGATCCCCTAAATGATGAACCTATTAAGACATAAGTTCAGCAGAATGCTGCAACAATATGGATTTGTAATGTTTTCTCCAAACAACATTATGGTGATTGGGTTTGAAAGTAAGATCAAGGCTTGGAAAAGCTATTTTTTTGGTTTTTTAAGTCCAAGAACAAGTGGTTGATTTCATCAAATCCATTGAAATTTCCAAATGATAGATCTCAACTAATGTTGTTGGATGGGCTAGAACTCAGAGTGAAGAACTTCATTGACTATTGGTTCCTAGAGAAGATGTTAGCATGTAATTGAATGTGTACATTACCGAATTAACCTCTTCTTTAATATCCATATGTCTAGTTCCCCATGTGTGCTTATTAGTTTTTATTGTATGTTTCCTTCATCTCACTTTAGTCCTTTCCTCGAGAAGAAATTGGTCGAGCTCCTTGAATTAGAGGAGGATGTTGGAGGAGAGGTAGCCAAGGAAAAAGAGTTTGAAGGAGAAACCTCTGCAGTAACAACAATTTCTACCATCCACTTCTCTATTAATGAACAATCCAATTCTGATTGGGCCTTCTTGAATGCAAAGAGAAGAGTAAGAACAGGAAGAAAAGGAATAAGAAGAAAAAAAAGGAGAGTTGGCGGCCACCATGCCTGCCTTGGAAAATATAGATGGAAAGCACAAAGCCTACGAACAGTAAGTTGTCATGCTACAAATGACGAGAAAGGAGGCAGTGCAAGAATATCTGGTGAGCCGATTTAAATTGCGTTACATTAGATTTTTTTTTTTTTTTTTGAAAAAGATTTATTTGGTTTTCAAAAAAGAATAACAAAGCCACAATTTGGAGTACAACAATGATGACATTATAGCAGCTTATTTAATGGTAGAGGACGTTAATGAGTAGTTAATAAGAAAATTTAATGATAATCTAAATGAACAGAATAAATAGAACCGGACTAATGAGTGTGGCCCTCAGAACATATAAAGTAAAGCTTCGTTCCAATTCACTAAAATTCAAACCATACAAAGAAATTTAATTCCCGAGAATTTCATACAGATCTCTAGATCAAAACTGGAGGGAAGGGAATAACACGCAAAATGTAACAAATAATAAACATGAACAGTATACAATTGATGTAGAAAATCCATTACAGCAAACATCTAAATGGAGAATATCTATAATTCCTTTATCAAATGAACAAAAAGAAGTAGTTTTACTCCACATAACAGGGGAGTTGCATGAGCTTCTCCATCGCATTAATCAAGCTACGTAACGACGGCTAATTCCCAATAAAAATAAAGTAGCTGAAAATAAAAACTCGCAACACAATTTACAGACTACGTCAACCTCAAAAGGGAAGTAATTTGACTCAAAGAAACTTAATTACATTATAAAATGGATGATAATCTCATGAACAAAATACATAGAGGAGAAAATTGAGTCCTATCACAACTTAGCAATGGCAACTGAATGTCAAATAATCTAAAGAAACAACACTGAATTCAACCATAAAAAATCATAAATTGGCAAAAAAAAAATGACTTGCTAATTATAAAAAAACTATAACAGTAGATCATTTTCCAAGATGCCAATGACATAAAAAATAACACGAAAACAACAAAAATCAAAATATGCTTAATCATGGTTTACAAAAACTCTCATCGCAAACTCCTCCATGAACCGAATAGAAAAAAGAGAAGGAACCCCAAACAGCCAAATACTAAAATCTTGAATAAGGAAGAAAACTACCTGCAATTGCGTGAGGCTGGTATCACCGGCCTGAGAAAGAACACTAGATGAATGCGCGGCGGACAAAGGAGGAGGGAAGATATCAGCGGACGGATAAACCCTAATCGCGAGAGGTGCGTTCCAGGTGACGCCCGTTATGCGACAGCAGCTGCAGCACTTAATTCCATTTTCTGCTGCCGGATTAACGGTTTGGTAAGAACTAACCTAAGCAGTCGGCTGTAATAATTATAAGTTTGAAGTACTCCAACACTTGTTGTATTTATTAAATTTTGTTTTTGTTTAATATTGAAATTTACTTAAAGGAATTAAATTGAGTGTTAAATTTACATGCTCGGTTAACTTATGCTGGCTCGGGCTTTTGTTGCATTTCAGCCATGGCCAGCTAAATTTAGTATAAGTTAGTGCAGATTTATCTCCCAGGCTTCCGAGTTGGAAAAATTATTACTTCTGTCGTTCGGATGTCGAGCTGCAACCGAGCGACGATCGTGATACAGCAGAGCTCCAATCGTAGCTCGATGTCAGTCTTCCAATGTTTACCATCACGTCAATCCAATGACAGTTTTGATCTGTCATCTGGGGTTCCGAGCATATTTTTCTTCTTTTTTTCAAAAATTATCATTTTTTCTTTTAATTATTATTTATTAAAAATAACTTTTATGATGACGAATAATTTTTTCCAATAAAATATGTAAAAGTGTCAGGAATTTTTTTTTAATTTGGATTTTCATATAAAAAAAAGGAAAATATTGGCATGTCTTAAAAATATACCTTCTCTTTCTTCTTTTTTTTTTTTTTTTTTTTTTTTTTTGACTTGAAGCACAACAAAAATTTATATCAACGGATGTCAACTTTCTGAATGCCCCCAACTTTCATCCCAGCTAAATTAAAGCTGACCTAATCTAACCAATCACCTTCACTAAGGCCTACTCCATTGGAGACCTCGTTGCTATGGTTGTAATTGAGCCAAGTCGAGTCGATTATTCAATAGATTGAACTTGACATTGTACAATTATAAATTGTTCATATTCGACTTGAACTTCTATCAAGTTTTCGCATGCTATTCAAGCTTCTCTTATTTAATATTTTCAATACTTGAATTTGATTTGTAATTGCTTTGCTTATGAAAGCCAAACATATATTTAAACGAGCTAAAATTTCAAACAATATCTAAACTTTCATATTAAAATTTTAATAAATAATTTTAAAAATCAAAATAAATTAACTATTTAATAAATCAGATAATAAAATAAACTAATTTACATGATCTCATCAAATGTCCATCATAGATATTTTATCATAAGAATGTATTATAACATACATAAAAAAAAGTTAAAACAAAAAATAAATAAATAAATTCACAAGAACTTTACCATTAAATAACTCATGATACAATATCTTTCATCAATTATTATAATAATATATTAATATTAAATATATAATAAAATTAATTATATCTAATCAACTTTTATTTAAATAATATACCATATAATTCAATATAATTAAAATTAACATCAAATATTTAACAATTTATTTATTAATTAACAAATGAGTTTGTTCATGAGCATAAATAAAAAAAATCAATTAAATATTAAACCTCCAAACTTTTAAAAAATATTCAAGCCTACTTATTTATTAATTTATACAAAAATAATCAAGCCATAATTGACTCAAATTGAAGTTATTCATCAAGTGTTGTGGCTCATTTACAACCCTGCTCATGACCCTGCTTCAAAAACCTATGGCTATCAACAGCTAGTGTTTATTTGACATTATAATTCAACTTTCTTTTTTTTAAATCATACACAAATTATTTATATGAGAAATTAAGATACATAACACACAACTTTTATCTATTTACATATCTAACACCTAAACATCCCTATTTACATGCATCTCTCCCAAATCTTTAAAATCAAATTAAAAAAATACCACCAACATTATATTTTTAAAAGTGAATACACTTTTTCATGAATATAATTAAAACACCAAAGTATTATAAATATAAATATCAAACTTTAAAATTGATTGTAAATGGCACATGAAACTAAACAAAACAACACCTAAGAGTCTATTTGGAGCAGCTGCAGTTATTTGAAGAAGCAACTGTGAATCTACTACAGAAGAAACTGTTTTACAAAAAAACTGCAATGACTTACAAATTTGTTTTATTTTCAAAATGACCGACTCGCAACTACCATACCTTAGCAGCTCAGGTTGAAAAAAAAAAAAGTTCCCCTAACAGAACTATGGTAAGCAGACTCGCAACTACCATACCTTAACAGCTCAGGTTGAAAAAAAAAAAAAAAAAAAGTTCCCCTAACAGAACTATGGTAACGGTCTAAAAATTAAAGCAAGCAAAAAGCAATCCCAAATAGAGCCTAAAACTAACGTGTTTGACTCGAATAAAATGATAACAATGTTTGTAAAGTGTTGTGCGCACTAGGTCAAAAGATTAAAAAGCTTTGTCACCAACCAACAATGTCTCCCGTTCAAGACAACGTGAGTTAAAAAAATAGTCATGAAAAGACCAGTGATCATGAGAAGATTATAACTTAAATTTTGAATTCAAATCAAATATTTTATAATTCATCAGTCATTCACTATTCCAAAAAAAAAAAAAAACCTCACATTTCAACTTAAACAACAAATTAAAGCTGTTAAAACAAAAAATCCCCAATGCATTATCTTCTAAAGGGTATAAAATTACCTGAAAAGATCAAAACCAGAACTTAAAATAAAATGCTAATGAGAATAGCAAATTGCAAGCTAAAAGAGCTTCTACCAAGAAACACAAATAGGACAGGATAGAGCAAAGGATGTAACTTCCACAAACTTCCTCAAAATGGAAACACTTCAAGTTTTCATTTGATTTAAAAAAAATGGAGATTTAAATCTTCAAACGTTACAAAAAAATAAATAAAACACATTATCAAACGTCATACCAACCCCTAAACTAAAAAAAAAAAAAAGGACCCGCAAAAAAAATTATTTATTATATTCCCTATGCCAAACTATGCAAAATGTCTAACAGCAATATAATCCCTGCAACATAAATACATGCCTGAAATAACGCTATTCGCCAACCCTCATTTTTCATTCCACCCCCCAAAAAAAAAAAAATTTAATGCAAACGTAGCTTATTAGTTATATTTAATATGGATAAACGGTGGAATGGACTACAAACAACTGTATGAAACTGAAGGCTACTAGGAGTATCATCCAAACCAGGTATGATAATCTGAAGCAGCGTAGGAGTTTGGGGGGCAATGGTGCATAAATATGTTTCATGACTGCACAGCCAGCCTCTGGAGATGCTCACAGAAAACTTGAAGACTCACATCATCTGTAAAGATAATATCCGAGCCGGGAGCGACATCATGCGCGGAGTTATATGTGGCTGATGGGTTCAGCTTAGCTAAAAGAAATCTTGCCTGCAGAAGAAATATAGAGATCAAGTATCCAAAGGAATTTTCTAAGAAATGGAATGCAGTGAAAATCATAAACATATATTTCATTATTTTCCTAGATAAATTCTGCAACCAGCCCTACACCAATTTTTGATAAGGGGCTAAAGAACGATGAGATTCATCTTATTATAGTCAACTTCAATCAGCTCTACATTTAAATGCTCGTATAAGATAAGAAAATAATGCAAAACTAAAGGACAATTTGGGATCACATTTACTTTTTATTCTCTATTTTGTGTTTTTATTTCATTTGGTTTATGTTTTGATTTGAAATAAAACATGTTCTGCATGTTAAAAAACAAATCAATTTATTTTAAAAAAAATTTTGAAACAAACACATGTTCTCATAAACAAGAAAATTTGCTTTTAAAAACAAAAAATAAAACAAGTGAAAATGGACAAAACAAATATATTTTTAAAAATAAAAAATTGATATCAAATAGACCACAAGTAACTAGTCACAGCAAGTCTTAAGAAAATTGTAGTCTTTTATCTTTTCATCCTAGTACTTCATTAACAAACATATAAGTAATGTGTGTGTGTGTGTGTGTCTACATATGTATGTATGTATATACATGTGTGTGTATGCATATACATGTGTGTGTTTAAAGGTTGAATCAATTCCTACCATTTAAAGCTTGAATCAATTCCTACCATTTAAAGCTATGCATATACATGTGTTATACATATGTATGTATGTATATACATATGTATGTATGTATGTATATACATGTGTATGTATATACATATGTATGTATGTATATACATATGTATGTATATATATATCCATATATTTGTGTGCATGTGCATATTCTTCCATAGAACCATTTGAAGGTTGCCAGTTAATGTTTTCCACTTTTATTTACTATATTCCTTCCCTGAAATCCAGCATAAAACAGTACCTCATCATCATTCAACTTGCCACAACTAAATAAAGCTTGCGTTTTAATTCTTAAATCCTGGTGCTTAGTTTCCTTCGGTAGATACCTTCTTAAGCTATTCCAAGTTACATCCTACCATGCCATAAAAATCTATTTAGAGCAAGAATTGGATTTTTATTCTAGTGGGTTGAATCTTTCTAAACGATTTCTGAAGATCAAAAAATCATTCAATGGTTGCTTGTTGAAGTTTCCCAATTCCATTTATTCTTTTTTTTTTCATTGCAGAATATCAACAGCACCATCCTCGTATATAAACTTAATCCAATAATTCAGGCCTTCTATTCAAATCCCCATTTGTCATTCATTTCCATGAAGGACTGCATCAGGTTTTCATTCTAAATTGATTACATCATTTACACTTACTAATATTTACAGATTCCATTATATTTCACAAATCAGCTGAAGAAATGAGATTTATTATTAGAAGTTATAACCTAGCTTACAACTAAGTTTATAACATCGAAAGTCAAAACTCTTGGGAGTAACAACCCTGTAACTCTGCCAATAGACCACACATGCCCCTTTAAGAAATCCAGGGCACAAGAGCTGCCCTTCTGGATAACAAATTCAAAAAGTAGAAGTACCTGAGAGCCATGCTGATCACAAACAACTAATCTTGCGACTGGAAATCTATCACTTATTATCATTTGGGCATCATCATGTGGAGCTTGCAATAGAAGAGCGAAAGCCTGGAAAAAAAAAAAGACACTTAAATAAAGAGAGAAAGAGAGAAGGAAAAAGAAAAAAAAAATACTATATATATATATATATATATAATATATATATAAACGCATAAACGATTTGCATTGACAATGTTTGCTTTCCTTTTCTTTTTTTAGTTGCAATGTACTTCAAAAACTAAGTGTGTCATTATTGGTAATTTGAGGTGACAACGTGTTAAGAAAGCACTATTGATTGGTAATACATTGTTTTTAAGACACCAATGACACACAATACAGTGTTTTTACAACCAAAGCAACGCATCCAGCACAACTTCTCATTTGTGTCAGTGGCGGTGACTCTTTTTGGCAAAAAGATACCCAAGATCAGAGCATTACCAATGAACCTTACTACAATCTCTAACAATAACTCGTTTTAAGTAGATGTAGTTACGTGTAACAATTTTTTGTAAATTCCTAGTGAACTTTCCCTAGAGATGATATAAACGAAAGCCTATATATTTGTTGAATTTTAGGAATATTCTTTAGTATCTTCTATTTTAATAATTTCTACAATTAGAATATAGAATTATTGGTGTATTATAAAATCTTGTTTCCTTCTTTTATCAGAGTTATGGCTGATTTTGTCTTTTCTAATGTAGGAGTCATCCCATCTATTTATCTTATAATTATTTCAAAAGAAATTGAAGAGGAAAAATAATTTTTCCTTCTCCAAAATTCAAATGGTATCAGAGACACTGAAAGAGCCCTAACTGACGTCGAGGTCAAAGCCACTTGCGTTGTATTGCATCGTCTTTGAGCATACTCGCCCGGTAATGCCCTAGTGCATGTGTCCTTCGAGTCCGAGTGGTTGCGTTTAAAGCCAGTTATTCTTGTGTTGTCAGCCAGGTCGTCTGGGTGCTCCACTATTGCGAGTGGTTTAGCATCACATCAATTCTAGTTGATATCAATGAGAACGCGATGATTCACTTGTGTGAAGCTTCTTTGACTGTCCTAGCCTTGAGCAACTTCTTCTTCCTCCACTTTCTTCCGCCTGCTTCGAAGAAACTGCCTTCACCTGTGCTTTTCCATCTCCAAAGTAGGATTGAAGCAAAGTCTAAACAGCAATCCACAGCTTTTTAATACTTTGAAGTTGTTGGTTCCAATCTTATGATCGAAAACATGGTCGAACATACGCAGGGAAGTAAACGGATCATGGCATACATGAGCTTCGTGCTACTATTGATCAAAAACATCAATCAAGATCATGACATAAATCAGTTTCATGCCACTTATGCAGGAAAATGAACGGATTGTCGTGTACAGTAGTTTTACGTCTTTCTTGATCCAAAATAGAGATTAGGATCGTAAAGTAAAGGCATTTCACGCAGCTTGTGCGATCGGAACTATGGTGTTTTTCAGATTCTAAGAATGTCCTACAAATCAGCAATGATGATGGGAGCTCCAAAAAATTCTACCATATCAACCTATTCCAGCCATTCTGAAACTACATCCCCTTGACCTACGCCCATACATGCTAAGTATTATCCCCAGAACTTGCCATCGTATCTCACTACGATAAAACTCAACAAGTACAACTACCTCGATGGGCTCAATCAATAAAATTAGCGATCAACAGGCGATGCAAAATTGGGTTTTTAACCAGAGTAATTTCAAACCTACTGGTGGTGATCTGAAATTGAAAAAAATAGCAGTCCAAAATTTTTTCGATTATGGCCGGGCTCATCAATTCCAAATAACCTACGATAGGAAATTCACATCTATTCCTTCCCACAACTCAAAATATTTAGGAGGTTGTTCAAGGTTTCTATTTAGGATTGGAGAATTCTTCATAAAATTTTAACTTAAAAAACTCAACTTTGGAAATTCAAATATAATGTTGTGATATAACTACGTGTAACAATGACTTGCTAACATTATGACAAAAGCTTGATCATGTTATGATGACATTTGGGAGAATGCAAATGCCTATGCTCGCACAAGAGGCGAGAGGGAAATGACCGAGTCAACATGTTGTTAGTTGGCCTTAATAGGAGTTTAGATTAAGTTTGAGGTCAAATCCCTAGTAGTGAACCTTAGCTGGCCTTAATAGGAGTTTAGATTAAGTTTGACGTCAAATCCCTAGTAGTGAACCCCTACCCTCAATTCAGGAAGTTTTCTCTATAGAAGTGAAAAATCCAAAAGAAAAATAATGTGCAACACCAAATCGTCTGGTAACATTGAGTGGGAGAACTCTACTCTTGTATCAAAAGGGGTTGATACTGACAAACAAGGGAGAAAAAAATCGTGTCAGCATTGTAAAAAACCATGACACACAAAGAAGAAATGTTGAAAGCTCTATGCAAAAATTGCAAAGAGGAAATAAAAATCCAAATGTGACATTCAAGCTTATCAAGCCTCTAAAAACACTCAGGAACTATCTGCTAAATCGAATACAATCTCTTTTATCAATAAGCAATTAGAGCAGTTACAAAAATTATTTCAATCTCCAAAACTATACCTGAATTCACATTGCTCTTTAGGACAAAAGGATAACTATATGGCCACCGATTTGTTAGGTGTCATTCCTAATTTTTAACTATACCTGAATATAAAGTTCTAGATTCCACCATTTCTAACTTGACTAAACAAAAATAAAAAAATATATTACAGTTGTGCCTGTGTTACAACGCACAGTGCATTTCAAAATTGTCCACAAATTGAATTTCAGTAGGGTAAATTCATAATATAAAATATTTCACTATTACGTTTGACTTTTCAATCAGATGGATATATAGGTACGGTTCATGGTTGATTTCCTTGAAGATCACTCAAAAAGAAATTTAGGCAATTTAGTTTATAGATGTCAACGTGAAAAAATATGATGTTCATAAATTTATGAGGCAATTATAATAGGGCTAACACAAAGTTTACGATATTTCTACTTCTGAAGCATGTGAAACAGTGATGCAACTCAAAACTTTTGGAAGAATTCAAACAGAAAACTATGAAAAGGCCTTTTGAGACACAAAAAATTTGAGGGACTGCCAAAGAAGCTCCGCCAAGGACTAATTGCTCAACCAACCTAAGAAACAACTAACATACATATGAAAATTGATATACAACTTATAACAATCAAATTACAAATGAGACAATAATACCTGATGCTCTGGCTGGTTTTGGTAGCCCATATTGCGCCACTGAGCAATTGTCGTGCCATGAAAAATAACTATGCTGAAATATGCATCTAGTAAGAGTATGCGGTCTGGTGCTATAGATGCAACATCCAACAAAGTAGGTGAAGGTGGTGCGTTAAAAGAGTATGATATCAGTGAAGGCTGAATCATAACAACTGAATTTGCAATGCTTTCTCGGTTCAACAAAATGCGGAAATATGCAGTCTCATCAGGGCTATTATTAAAAACCTGAAACAGAAAGCATCATCCTAATATTTAATAAGGAAAAATGTAGTTTATATATATATATATAAGGAAAAGCCCAAAAAAGTCACACAACTATCTTATATGACCAATTTAATCTCTACGTATTACATTTCTCCAATTTAATCGCTCCATTATAAAAATTGATCCCAAATTATCCCTTGGGTAAAAATCGACAAAAAATGAGATATAGAAGTGATTCCAATTTAGACCCTTGACTAAACAAAATCAATCCTAATTTAGTCCCTTGGAGATAATTGGGATCAACTTTGTATTTTTGATTTGACTACAATGGAGAAATGTGCTAGAAGGATAAAATTGGGCACATAACAATATTCCAAGGGGCTATTTTGGGGTTTTCTTTTCTATTAACAAAAGTTCCCACCTGTACAAACTGTGACCGCCTCAAGTTAAAAATAAACTGAGGAAATATTGAAAAATTAGGATTTATAATAAATGAATTAGGATCATCTTTCTGATAGTCACCAAAACGCGAGCAAATCCGGATGAGTGATCTATCCAAGTATCGCATTGCATCAAATTCTTCCTGAAAAAGAAGAAATATATCGCCACAATAAGACAATGTAGTGTTACCAATAAAAAACATCTACAAACTATTAATGTAAGAAAATCAAAAGAGAGTTCTTTAGTTTAAAAAAGAATGAATAAAATTGTATAGTGGACAACATGCCATGGTTGGGGAATAGATTAAAACGTGAAACAAAAGACTACTACTTGATTTGTGCATGACATTAAACCTTCATGCTTCTGTTATCATTATATTGTCAATATTGTCAAAACTAGCCTTATAACAATATTTTGGATAGGCAATATGAACTCCTCATTCATTCATTCTTGATGAGTATCACATATGTTATTAAAACTAATGTAAGCAAATCTTTTTGAGCAATCTCTACGCTTATCAGTATCCATCAAGGTAAACTCTCGTACATTTATGTACAGTAAATAACTGACCTCCATCTCCATCTTAAATGTCACATATCTGGCCAATACAACAGCAGCAGTTTCCTGATCAAACCCATCAACCAGTTCCTGGACCAGTAATGTATGATATCAGCCACATAAATGAGAGATAAAATGTCACAAAAAGCCACCAAATTGATACAGTTAAATATTTACAGAACTCAACTAGCCGTGAAGAGTACAAACTCAACTATCCATATAAACAGTAAAAGCTATTACATTTGTTATATATATCGATCAATTGACCTTAGTTTTGACCTATAATAGGAAGTTAGGAAGTAAGCTTCATGACGTTGCACAAGCTAAAAGCATAAACGAGCTTCTTGTAAAGCATATAACATTTTCAAAGAGAAAACGAGTTAAAACACCCTAAAATAATCATAAAACTACTCCTCAAGTTGTCAAGCAATCAAACCCAAGCTACAAAGTTCATTAAAACACAGAATAAAACAAAACATGTAATGTTTTAAAGGAACTGAAAGTACATTTTGAAATACCAAGATTAGAAAGAAACAGCACAGCATATGATTTGATAATCCCAAACTACAACGAAGGCTAAATTAAAGCTTAACTAATTGAGGACAACCGTTCAAAACCATAATTGTGTACTCCTAGTTTCATGTAATTTAGAATTTATGATTTTATAATCATAAAAATGCCATTCACAAATTCCAATGCATTTTTCCTTGAATACTTTTAAGTACAGCATAAATCCTTTGTGCTCCCCACAATAAATCAATTTTGGTTTCAATGTTTCATTCAATTTAGGTTGTCATAATCAATTCATACATTGAAAGAGATCAACCTCCTTCTAGATTCAGAACAAGATCACTAGATTAAGACTCGGAAAGCCTAGTCTCCATAGAAATATTTCATGATTCCAGATTCAGACTTTCAAGGCAACACAACCCATCACATCTAGTAGTCAAGATTTTGAATGCTATAAAAAGAACGAAAATTAACACCCCTCAAAAACCAAAACCTCATAAAGTACTGCTTTAACTGAGTTTTACATTAAAATATCACTTTCCTAGGTAAAGTTAAATAAAGTTATTTTTAGTTTGCAAATCTGGTAAAATATTCCAGATTCATGATAGAAGAGTAGAGTTCTTGTTAGTTTGATCTGCTAAAATATTCTAGATTCATGATTAGAAGCTCCTCGAAATGTTAAGTTCAATGCCACGAACGCCTATTCTGCTAACCTAAACCTTGGAGACAGCTACTACTCAAACTCGATTATTTGTTGAAAGTGAGAAAACTTTTGTTTGATCCATAAGCCTATGGAAAATATTTTCAAATGTTAAATTAACAATTCTATATTGCAAGCTTTCATATGAACAATTGCATTATTTTGTAAGTAATTTAAGGATTCAAAGTGATAGATTATTATTGAATAGAGTTAATTATTTGAATTTTTAATGAATAGTAAACATGTGCATTCATTTAGACTATTCTATAAAACTGCAAGCATAAGCATATTTGCAGATTAATTAACAGGTTCAAAACATTTTGCTTGATTGCTGGCCTTAACAGTTAAACAAAAGCAGGGCATAAGTTGTAAAAGTCATCCAGGTGCACAATAACATTAGGATGATATTCTTCATTCTTTTAGAAAAAATGATTCTACAGTCGATAGAACACGTGATCATAATTTGTTTTTAAATTGGTTAGCTGACATGGGGTCTGCTTAAGGCAAGCAACTTCAACAGTCCGTAAAGTCTGTAATAAAACGTTTACAAGAAAAGCTGATGTCTGCAGTTATTATATAAACACAGAATTATAAATCTTGGATTGAGAAACCATGAAACACAACTGCACCACTAGAATACAGTTTGATAAAACTTTTTTCATATATGAACTTGATCCTTTGTACGCATGGCAGTGTTACCAAAGTTCGTGTTTAATTATATATCAATGTTAAATTCAGTCCTTTACAAGTAAGATGTAAAATTAGCCTGTTGTACGTACATTGAGGACCTAGAGTGTCTTTTAAGATAGTGGGTTGAAATACATATTTTTGCTCCTCGACAACTGTCTCTCACGACTTTGACCACCGAGTCTTTTAAGACAGTTGGACAGGCTGACACTCTCCAAAATTCTCCTAAATAAGGGTTGACACTGGGAGGTTGCCAAAATTTTAGGTGATTTGGACTAGCAAATTACTTAAAATATGGACTAATTGAGCTTATAAAATGACAAAAAATATGGCATTTCAATAAAATTTTAAATTATAAATTTGGTATAAATGATAATCTATATAAAAATTTTGATAATTCATGATAAATCAAGATGTTATCTCATGAATATTAAAATGGTGAATCAATTCAACACTTTGATTAAATGATGAGTATTAAAAATGTCATATCGCCACCAACTCTACAATTCTAATTCGCAAGCAGACAAAAGGTGACTCTTTTGAAACCCAAAATGTAATTGTGCATGTGATCTAATAATACAATATTAAAATGGAGTTTCATTCTTTCAACTGATTATAAACTTTCATAAAATTCAAGGTTATTTTAATTCATATAACATACTTCAAATTCAATGGTTCAATGCATCAAAACAACGAAGTATTGATTTATCTTAGCAAAGTTTGGATAACTTCAAGTGTTGCACTGGCATTTCAAAATACTTCATTCGTATAATATAATGTTTCAAATGCAAGTGTATAATGTATTAAGATGCATATGTATTTAGTAAAATTATACCCTCATAGGTTCCAACTAAATTTTCAAATGCTTTAATGAATAGCTTAAGAATCTTATGCTCGTTAAGGCTAAACTTGCACTGAAATAGTCCATATTTTGAAAAGAAATCCATCGAGCCATCTTATCTACAGGGCAGTGTTGCAAATCTCACCCATCTACTCTGATCCTCTTAAGGATTGGAGTTGACCAGTCGAGCAAGTTCTAATATTGTCTAAATCACATACATAAGAGTTTGCAAGACCAATTCGCCTTGTCAATCCTCATCCCGAAGCTCTTAACCTAACAAAACTCGAACGAATTTCAACTATAAAAGTTTTAAATGTCAAATTCCTCAATGTTGTCCGAGTTGATTGAATATTTCAGCAGAAAGAGTTAATTCTTAAAATCAAGTTTTTCAAAAAACAAACCAAATTAATCACTCAAAAAAGACTTAAAACAAACTACCATCCCCCTCCACAACACTTTGTCGAGAGAGATAATTTTATTGACTTCAGCTCACAACGAGCAAATGTCACTTCAATGTAGTCGAGCCTACCATAAATGTCATTTTAACCCCTGACATACTTGTTTATCATATACATCCAGCCATGTACAGGGAATGGATGAAGCAATTATATAATTATTTGCTTGAGATTTAGCTCGTGAGAATCTACATCATTATGTTGCTCAAGGTCAAGTTGTGTCAAAAGTGGATAAATATTTATTTTATCAGACTGTGCTTTAGAATGCAATGCCTACATTATTGACTTACAGGTAGCTTGTAACATTTTTGCTATCTTCGACGGAGTTAACCTGACTACTAGAAAGAGATAAAAGCTTCGACAGATAAGGTTAAAACTCTCCCACCGGACAATGAGATAAGAGTTTCCTACATGGACCCATTTCGTGTTCCTTGCGATACTCCCATGATTTATGCTGTAGCCCCATGACTGCTCTTGCATCTGGACTAGGCCCAACAAAGCATGGCTGGCATGGACACTTTTCGTGTTCCTTGTGACAGTCCCGCAATTTCTATTATATTCCTACGACCGCTCCAACATCTTGGACTGGGCCCAACTTCACACTGCATTTTCCATTTCATTTTAGACCAGGTAGTGATATTGTCTTTCACTCACACTGGCGTCGATATTTCAAATTTTGCCTCCAAAATAATGCACTCTTCTTTAATTTGTTGGTGACTAGATTCACGATTCTGTCTTGTGGAACGTTTTGACACTCAAAGACACATTCCAAAAATCTAGAAGAACTCGATAAATTCCTCCGGATCTATATATTTGTTGAAATATGACAAAACCACATTTACTTTAATTTCTAATTTCTAAGATATTTCAGATCAAATCTTCGAAATAAATGTTCTTCATCCCTAGAATCAGCATGGTGAAAGAGATTCAGTCCATTTCTTCAATCTAGCAAATCACTGTTGTGGCTACGAGTGACCCATCAAAATTGCCTTCTCTCAAAAATGTAAGTCTTTGTTGTAGCTGGCGGGTTTCCCACTGTATAGCTTCTGTAACAATCTCCTAGACCCCCATCCTCATGTAAATTCCTCATAAACAGCATTGTGTCCTTTCCCCTCAATCAGGCTTCTAGATTCTGATTCATCGATAGCATGGTTAGGTTTTAGGTTTGCATGGTGAAAGGAGTATGAGATAGAATATGGGTGCATAAAAGCTATTTAAGATTGTTGATTTTGAAATCAACAAAGGGAATATTAGGATTAGCTCAAGATTTGGCTATAATTTGGTGTGTTGTTTGGGAGGTGAAAGATGATGTATAGGGCTAATTTAGGATATATAAAAATTATTTAGAGTTGTTGATCTTGAAAATCAGCAAGGTAGAATTATGGTAAGATCAAATTTTGACTATGGAGATCAAATTTTGACTATGGATTTGTGGGTGCTAGGAAGCTTGGTATAGGACTAGGGTGTTAGGCTAGCTCCGATACTAAATGATACTGAAATTAACTCAAACCACAACATAAATATAATTATTATTGCTAAAATTCAAGGGTTACAACGAAGACTATTCAAAGTAAGAATAAAACTATACAAAACACAAACATCACTCTAAGTTGAGAACGAAATTATGTTGTTGGATAGTAGTGGGGATGGCTAGTTAAGGTTACAACGACGACTATTCAAAGTAAGAATAAAACTATACAAAACACAAACATCACTCTAAGTTGAGAACGAAATTATGTTGTTGGATAGTAGTGGGGATGGCTAGTTGGGAGGTTGTGAGTGTGTTATTTGAACTATTGAAATAGACTTTCACACTTAACCTTAAAAATAGCCCGTCTGGTTGAAATCTTCTATCAACTCGGTCAAAATCGAGGATTTTGACTATTTGAAAATATTTATGTTTGAAATTTATTTGAAATTCAACAACTTTGATATCTTTAGAATTATAGTCTTGTCAACTCCAGTCCTAATGAGAAGGATTAAACAAGGTTATTTGAACTAACAAATTCTTATATTTGTGATTTGAAAATTTATTGAAATTACTAGACTCATCACTCCAGTCCTAAAGAGAAGGATAGAACTAGTTGAGTGGGACATACAACACTGTCATATAGACAAGCCGGCCTGATTTATAATTTGCATATTTTGTCTTGAATTTGATTTCTAAATAAAGACTTTATAACTTTGAGATGAGTGTAAAATTTTCGAGAAGAAAGTTTGTACATCATGAAATCATTTAGAACTTGAAATGTTTGCAATAATTTTGTGATTTTGAATTACGAAATTCCATTTTAAGTTTTAAAAGGAAATCACCTTCTATTAGCTAACAAGTGATATTGCAAATTCGGTGGCAAAATTGACATATTAGGTTTACATATTTAGCATTTAAAGATGGCATTCATGTATTTAGCTAAGCCCCAATTTATGATATTTACTATTAAGTCAAGCGTAGCCCCTAAGCTTTGCCTCAACTTATGATATTTCATATTTTAAGTCAATTTGTCAACCCCTAAGCTTAGCCCCAATAATGATATAGCCTTAAATTATGATATTTCATATTTAAGTTAATTTGTCAGTCCCTAAACTTAACCTCAACCAAGCTTTAGCCTCAAATTATAATATTTCATATTTAAGTCAATTTGAAAATCCCAAGTTTTCGTCCCAATCAAGCATTAGCCCAATTTATACATTTAAATAGATTACAAAGATTAATTTGCATTAGCCCATTAGCCCAATTTATATTTTTATTTGATCGCTTTCAAATATAATCAAATTTAAAACTTTTAATTCACAATGTATGTTTTGATTTATTTCTATTTTTATATCAATTAAAAGTCCAATAATTTAATTTTTTTAAAAGCATTTGCAAATCCAAGGTCGTCAGAATACTTGGCAATCTCTCGACGTCTCGACGTTCCCCCCCCCCCCCCAC